TTCATACGTATGTACATTGCTGGCAGATAGACGGAAGAATAGAAGGACAGGGAGGTGGATAGACTAGCTCCTTTTCCTGCTCGAAAATATATTCACTTTCTATGATTTGCGACGCCTCCTTCTGCAAATTTGCATAAGTAATAATAAATAAAAGATATTTAACCATTTATCACCCATCATAATGCCGTCAATGCGAGCTATATCAATAACTTGTGCGCCAGTTTCAAAAGTTTCTCAACAAACTTAAATAGAGGTGGATGTGCGCAGTGCTTACCTTCAAGTGGGCAGCAATATTTTGCAGCTCAGTTGCAAGATGCTCAGCCAAATGACAGCACAAGTGTGTGCTATGGTTTTTAAAAAGTCAACTAACCAAACTGGCTGGACCCCACGGCACACACACACACATACACGTGAACACACAGAGAATTTGTGACAAAGCTGCAGCTGGCTGCATAGCCATGCAGCACTTTGACATGAATGTAGTATACCTAAGCATCCGTGTGTGAGTCTGTGTGAGTGTGTGTGAGTGTGTGTGAGCGTGTGTGTGTGTGTGTGTGGCCAACGTGTAGCTTAGCAAGCCAAAGGCTAATTCAAAGTCAGGGCGCGCACAATGCGCACAAACAGGAGCTCGCGAGTCCGCCCCCTCTGGCCATGCTCCACTTCCTCCAACTGCCGGTCCATTCGTTGTTTTGTATTATGACAGCAGCTGCACCTGAAAGTATGCAGTGATTTTTTTCCACACGCGCCTCTCTAAAAAAAACTGTAAACAAAAAGCGGCAACAATAGGAAAGGTGGCAATAGTTGACAACGACGCTGTGGCATTCCAAGTGTTTATTGTCCAGTGCACCAACAGACTGTCCTTGTGTGTGCGTGTGTGTGTGCTCGTGTGTATTTCAAAGCAGTTGGCATATCAACTGGTCGGACATGGTGTAAACACGTTTAATGTTGTTGTCCCTCTACATTGCTCGGGTGCAGTTGCTCCACCTTGGGCTGCAGCTGCAGCTGCAATGTTGCTGCGTTTAATTTAATCTACTAGTCGAGCTGCTACCTTGACATGGACTAGACCAGTCACCTCACAGGCACAGACACAGGCGCACACGCACACGCACATGCACGCATTCGCTTAAAGCCCTGTACGTGTGTGTGTGTGTGTGTGTGTGCATGTTGGCTGCTTGAGTGCACCGCAAGTCCATTTAACTTAACTTTGGCCGTACATGCACTCGGTGCGGACTAGCTTCTGGCCATCAGCCGCTCACTCTTTGCCTCGCTGCCTGGCTGCCTGCCTGTCTCACTGCATCACTCAAGCGCACGACCAAACGGTGACAGGGCTGCGTATCCATGCACTGGCATGTATGTGTGAATGTGCGTGTGCGTGTGCGTGTGCGTGGCTGTGGCCGTGTGCGCCTGTGTGCGTCTGTGGGCAACGTAATTTGCATGGTCAGCATGCAACGACAACGGCAATGGCAACAGATGGGGCCTGGGGCATACGAATGGCAATGGGAATGGGTAGTGGACTGTAGGTGCTGTTGCCAGTTGCCAGGTCCACCAGCGGCCTGACTATCCTTGCTTAATTGCATGCTACTGCATCGGCAACTTCATGCTAGAGAAATCCAATTGCAGCTGCAGCAAAAAGTGTTGCCTGCTCTCGAACTTGTTACATCTGTGCGTGCGGCGTCCATCGTCGTTTTCTTAGTGTAACTCACTAAAACATGCATATTAGCTTCTGTTGTTCCAATAGTTTTTAAGCATTAATGTCAACACGAAGTGGACACGAGGCACAAGTTTTAAAGCTTGACTTCCAGGTGATTATGGGTCCAAGTTTTTCTCCAATTTGTGCATGTGTGTGTTCACGTGATCCGAAACATGTGCACCGCTTTTTACGACCCACACGAATGGCTGGACAGAAAAGGAAAAAAAATGGTTGTACATTGCACAAGTGCCGCGACACGCAAAACATTAAAAGGGATTCGTTTTTTTTTTCCTGCGTCTACAGTGTCCGAGTCAGGGAATCAAAATCAGACCGTGTACATATGTATGTATGTAATATGACAAGAGCTGAGTGAAAAAATGGAAAACAAATGGTGCGGCATTTGCTGTCGAGTATTTTTTCGTAAAACTATCAACCGTACGAATCATTTGCAAGCGATTTAATTTCAATTGCATGGGCGTTAATCAATGCCAACAAAAGCCAACTGCCATTCAAGGTAAAACAAAACAAAGCAATGTAAAGTCATAGCAAATGCATAAACTCAAATAAAATTAGTAAAAGTTGAAAGTTCGCAAAACAAACAAATGAACGATGAAAATTCATTGGCTGTGCTCTAACCACAAATTCAAATGCGCGCCCAAGCCAACAGTCAATGCTTACCAGCACTGCGCGTGAACGATTTATCTAGCGACTCACGCACGGCCACTATATATCGAACGCATATCGAACTGCGATATCCGTGCCACCACCAATTAACTACGAGCAGAACGTAGAAATCCACAATCTTGGAAAATAAAATTAAATAAACATAAACCGAACTAAGTTAGTGGCAGCTATCATTCATTAAAACTTGAATTTGTATGTGTTGGTAAGAATTTATCTCCAAACACCTAAAAAGCTGCATTCAAAACTAGTCTGTCAATTATTCGCACTGAAATTCGGATAGAGACAGAAAATAAGAAAATAGTTAAACATTGATAAAACCAACTGAGATTTGGAATACATGAGCAGTATTTAAGAGAGAGCTTAAGCCAAAGTATCAAAAGAAAATTTGCCAAAAAAAATAGAAAGTATATAAAGAAATATATACATTTCTATCTACATATAAAATTAAAAACAAATGAACGGGAATCGAAAATTTAAATCGCTGCGCCTAGTGCGATTCGGAGAAATATTCTATGATAAGCAGAAGCGTCTCATATTGATATGCCGAACCTGTCAGCGTCATTATTTGTGCATGGACACCTTCCAGTCGCATCTCAGCAAATGCGTTGGCATCAAGCACATAGTCACGTCCATTGACGAGCTGCACTACGACGAAGCGAAACGAGAGACAAGATTAATCAATGGCAAGCAAGAGGTAGGCGTGTCCACAGTATTTTTGTACAAGCTAAATATTATAAAGTAAATACTTCTGGCAGCTGCACATTTATGAGCCGAGCGCAGTGCGTCTTCTGAACAATGGCAAATGTAGCATTGACTGGGAAGCCGAGCTCGAGCATCCGCGCTGGTATACCGAGGAGAGTCGACCACTGCCCAGCAACAACAAGGCGCACCAATCGCCCGTCAATGCCAAAGAAAATGTAGCCAAAAGCCGCCCACGTCATCCAATCTCAGATCTCGAAAAGGCGAAGCGCTCGGATTCAGAGTCGCCAGAATCCCCCGCCAAGCGGATGCGACATTCCACGCCGAAGGCTCCACGCATGATTCTCACAAATCAGCAGCAACACAAATCGAGCGGTAGCTTACAAATGCCCCCAATGACAGCTAATATCAAAAACGAAATATATACTGTGGAAAATATCGTTGAGGACTTAAGGCGTATGGATGCCATGCGCGCTGCCGAGGCAGCCAAAGCCAAGACAACAGCAGCAGTAGCGGAAGGAGCAGCACCAGTAGCAATTAGTCCAACAGCAGTTGAAAATCCATCCCAGGTCACCACACAAGCAACGAGTCCGTCCAAAGGAGGCGATACACAGCAAATACTGAACAAGCTGCGTGCTTGCGGCGTGGAGGTTAAGCGTCGTAATACTCGAGAAAACACCATTGAAAGCCCTAGTGTGGGTGTGGATTCAAAGAAGCAACTGGCCCTGGATATAATGCGAAAATTGCAATCGAATGGCATCAAGTGCACCAAAGTCAATAATAATAAGAAATAAGTAATTCAATATAGCTATAAGTGCCCGTGCATGCCTACATTTAGATTTAATTAGTTTATGATTTTTGAATTCATTGTGTTTGCTAAACACTTTGGAGGGAACAGAAATTTAAACAGCTGTTAAAACCAATTGATTTGCAAATCAGACTGACTGTCATTCACATGAAGTCGTAGACAGCCTGTCTGTAGTTGCTTAAATTAGAGATGAGTAATGTCATAATACTTCAATGTAATTCTTACAAACAAATAATATATGAACATTGCATATGAAAAGTCTTATTTAAAATACATGTTATTAATCCTTAATTTCTCAGTAAAAAGTTTTTAAATTTGAATGTTTTTATTTTATTATACATTGCGTGTGCTACAACTTGTTAGCTTCCGATAGTTAACCAAATACTTACGCACATCTCTCGCACACAACTCTCATCTCTAGTTGATTATTATTTGGTGCCGCACGCGTGCCGTTCAAGTCGAAAGAAATTGGTTAAAAATTAAGCTGAAATAAACGCCGTACAGTTTGTTTATATTTTATACAATATTCGCAACGAAATTCACCAAATTCGAGTGTCGCGTGTGGCCAACAAACGAAGTGGCAGGAAAACAGGTAAGACACAATGCCATGGACTTACATAATTTTTGGGCCTTTTTGCGTCCAAGTTTGTTTTGCATTTATAGATTTCTGTGCCGCACTGCAGGCAGCAAATGACATCATACTTAATATTAGTTTAGGGGCGCCTAAAACTGCATTTACCTAATAGTTGCAATGCTCGAGAGAGCCTTGAAACTGGGGCCAATTTAATATTTGTTAAGCAAAGTTTTTAATTGATAACAGAAACTGGTTTAAAGTGAAAACAAAAACAAATTTTTGAACAAGGATTTCCTT